GCGACTTCTAAAAAATAGTTCCTTCTAATTGTCTACCTTGATACCTTTGAATTAAACTGGTTCACTGTCATTAGTTGTGTTTTTCATTGCAGGTCGAACTCTGTTCGTATATTTTCCTGTAGCTATTTTGAACTTAGCAAATTATACCAAATCGTTATGACTGCCTTTTCACCACAAAATTCATTTTGATAGTGCGTTACATCTAATCAGCGGTCCGCTGAAATGGGCACAACCTGTGTGGATTTTACTGTTTGTGCATAGACTGGTTTTACTGTAGCAGCGAAGAGTAAGACCAGACATCGCTATAACACGCAAGACTGCTGTATCCACTAAATTGCAGAAAGTTTTTTTTGATTTATTAATCTTGGCTATTCAAAGTTTCCTTAGCGATTGTGTAATGGTATCATGTGGCTACCGATCCGCTGAGCAGACGGACTAGAATTCATGCATGGCGACAACATACATATTTTTGGTTTACACATGTGATCTTGTGCCGCTGATATATATCTATATATGTAGGCCAAGGAATGAGGAATGACTCCTTCAAATTCTGATTTCGAGCGGCTTCGGAAGAAGTTCGGCAAAGTATATCAGAGTGCATCGTAGTCATTTAGGCTCTGCGCCAGGGTTGCATGTTATGTCAATATGGAGTACCACACTGACTTCGAATATATCGATTAGAAATTTGTCTCTTGCTTACTTTGTGGTGTAATTGAGTGACCGTATTATTCGAAATGAACCAAATTTCATAATTTATAGAGCCCGCTGTTTCCATTCCAGATGCCACGGTCTCACTTTTGACACTATACACTTCCAAGTTTGCAGAACTCCTGAGACACCTGGTCATAGATTTGCCACATGACAGTCGCATATGGGTGTCTAAAGTCTTTCTCTTGGTATTTTTATAGTGTCTGATCCATAGCAGTTGTGGTCTCAATTTAATCAATTAGTATTTCTCAAGAAAAGATGCCCTGATTCCCTTGTTATGAATCCTGTCTAGCCTCGTTACTAGATGTCCTTAGAAGAAACCTCTTACCGCATTTTTCGGTAACAGCGGTCTAGATTTTGAGTGAAGGTAGAGCGTAGACAGTTTTTGAAATTGTCTTCTCATTTCGAATCGTTCATTGGTCACTACAGATCGACTTGCAGCCCACCTGCGTTGTCTGTGTGTCACTTATCTATATTATCATGTTCATCTTCCATGACCGCTTCTGCTTTCAGGTCGCAGAGGCAGATGCGTCAGACAGCTCCTGATCCTGTGCTAGGGTATGATCTTCCGCAGAAGACAGGTGAAGTCTGGAGCAGACTGTTTCCATATGTTTACACCAGGTTAATCTTGGTTGTCTCTTGGGTTTTCTGCCGGTCGCCTGGGCAAAAGATAATTGCTTCGCCATTCCTCCGGAGTCATTCGCAACACCTGCCCAAACCATGGCAGTTGTGACTCCTCAGTCTGAAGAAGCGGCCGCTTTACACCAAGGCATTCGCGGATGTCTATATTCCGGAACCAAATCGAGACGAGACGCAAGGCAAGCGACTTGTCTCAGAATACCCATTTCAGCAGCTTCTACCCGTCGTCGAAGCGTTTCAGTCATTGCCCACGACTCATGACCGTATGTAAGCATGGGCATAAAGATCAACTTGAATACCGAGAGCTTCGTTTTTAGACCCAACACTGCTCTATTCACAATGGATCGGGCTAGTACGTGGAACGCTGCTATCTACTCCTATTCGCCGGTCGATCTCTTCGTCCAATTTTCCATCACTAGTAAATACAGTTCCGATGTACTTGAACTTCTCCGCCTGCTTCACTGCCTCTCCGTTAATCTGAAGAAAGCAATGGGCAGGAGAAGAGAAAGCACTAGGTTTCTCGTTTCAGATGCGTTCACACGCATGCAGGACATGTCGCACTCGACTGCGAAACTTTCTAGGGCGCAATGTAGATCACTTTCTGAAGATGCCAGTTAAAGAAGGTGGTCTGCAAACAGCAGCCTTATTGTCTCCCCATCTTCTACATCGGTACACACTCCTCGTCTTCGCGGCGCCTGACTGTTCTACCATGTACAACTCGGAGTGGGGACAGCATGCAGTCTTGGCGCGAGACCAGTGCCACCGCTTAAGGTTTTCGACTTAACGTCATTCATTCTGACGCATCACCTGCGATTGGATGGCCCGTGACAACTAGCCATCGATCCGATATGTTCGCAGGCATGCTCGTAGATTGTTGGGCCAGATCCGGCCATAGGTATTCCCTAAGTCAACACAGCACATATACACCGGACGGGCGAACGACCACGATTTCTCAACAATTCTGATCTCCCTTTTGAAACGGGTGCAACGACCCGCATCTTCCAGTCCGCTAGTATCTTCCCCTTAGTCATTGCAGTTTGAGAAGCACGTGTGAGCCAGCACATGCCTTGCTCGCCTTGTGCTTTGAACATTTCAGCGCTGATTTTATTAGTTACATTAGCTTTTACAATTTCAAAGCGTTTCACAGCTTGTGTGATTTCTTCAACTGAAATACTAATATCCGTTCCTTATTTCTCTAAAGACGAGTCTTCCTTCTCCGAGTTCCTCAAAGTACTTTGTGCATCGCCGAAGAATGTCGTTATCTTGGGTTAAAGGTGTCCACACCTATCGTTCAGTACTTAAGCTTTCCTTTTCACCTCGGAGCCGGCGAATGGTCTGCCAGAATACCTTTTTTGCCGTCTGGAAATTCGACTCAACGCCTCATCGAACTTCTCCCAGGATTCAGCTTTGGCATTCGCCACTGCTGCTTTCTCTGCCGCCTTGCGCGTTTAGATCTTTCGCATGCGAGTAGAAGGGTCTCTGCTTCTGAGCCATTTCTTGAATGCCACCTTATCTTTACCTTCCAGTTGTACCTCTTGTGTCTGTCTGCTAGAAAGTTTTCTTTTCTGACCTCCGGGCGGCAGGGCGACGCGTTTGAATCCGCAGCATTCGGCAGCAGCCCGGAGTAAGCCTCTCTTCCACGCGATGTCCGGTCAGGTGTCGCCGCCGGTTCACGGCTGAAAGCGTCGTGCGATGCTTCTGCAAATTTCGCTCTCATATCCACCAAAAATGATGTTTTCGAGTTGATTCTCTAGTGCCACCCGATCTTCGTATGGTATTCCATTTTGCAACTTAGCGTGCCAGTATGAAGGTGGTAATCAGCTGATAGGTCTACGCCTCTCTTAAGGCAGACATCTATTACACAGCGTTGTCAGACGATGTGATTGTTAAATCGATCATCGGCTTCTATGCATAATCTTTTCTGTACCAGGTATACTGATGCACGTTTCGATGCTCGAAGAACGTGTTCATGATAGACAGGCTGCTGTTTGCACAAAGCCCAGCAACATCATGTCGTTATTGCTGACATCGCTAGGGCCATTCTTTCGAACCACTGCTTTCCACTTTTCAGGTCTACTCTGACATGCGCCATAAAATTACCCGAGTATGAGGGACTCCATATTGGAAACTCTGGATAGAGACATTGCACTTCCTCAAGGATGGAGTCATATTCTCTCTCGAAATTGGGCGGGTAGACCTGTTGTGAGGTCACCGTTTTAACCTGTTGTTGTTTCAGTCGGATGATTACTACCCTTCCACTGAGTGGCTGCCAATCATTGATTCTGTACGCCAAGTTGGGTTCCACCAGAACACCGGCCTGAGCGTGTGTCGTGATGTCGACACCTGAGTAGGATAGCTTTCACCTGCAGAGATTCAGGATTCCAGAGACTTGGTGCTTCGTTGACAAGACTCCAGCTATGTCGAGTTTATACTTTGAGGCCTTATCTCAATATATAAACTTCC